ATGTGGGATTGCAATATTTGAGGACAGGAAATAAGGGAGCTATCTACTAAACACATATGCAGAGATACACACAATCACACACATAATCACAGATATACACAAGCACAATCACTGACCCACACACATACAATCACATACACACACAAACATTACATACATACACACATTTAATAATTAAGAGGTCCACCCAGCCTCCCTACCTTGCTCTAGAAGGGCTGGAGTGGATCCTCAGTCCCTGGTGGTCAGTGGTTGCTGCTGGGATCTCTGTGCTCTTTCTGCACAGGTCCATCGCACGCCCTGAAATGACGCAGAGGCCGTGATGACATCGTATCCTGGCTGCCGGCTCACTGCAGGGCGAAAACCGTCAGACACAGTCAGATGCACACAGTCCCACACACAGTCACACACAGTGACAGTCAAATACGCAGGCAATCACACAGGCAGACAGTCACACACACAATCAAAGACAGTCACACATACACACAACACAGTCACAGACAGTCACACACACAATCACAGGCAGACAGTCACACACACACAGTGACACACACACACACAGAGTAACACAGACAATCACAGGCAGACAGTCACACACACAGACAGTGACACACACAATCACAGGCAGACAGTCATGCGTACACATAACACAATCACAGACAGTCACACACACACACACAATCAGTCAGAGAGTCACACACACACAGAGTCACACAGACAATCACAGGCAGACAATCACACAGACAATCACAGGCAGTCACACACACACACAAGCAGAGAATCACACACACAGTCAAAGACAGTCACAATCACAGTTACACACACACACAGCACACACTCACTCACTTACAGTAACCATGGGCTGGAGGAGGGGATTCAGTCCCTCCTGTGCTGTAGTTGGGGAAGCAGGGACTCCTTCCTGCTTCCCTTCTGTGTGCAGCAGTATGAGGCTGCATTTAGCTCCGCCCCCACAGCCGATCTGGCTCCGCCCCCAAATCTCCGTGCAGGTCTCCAGCTTGTTCCCAGCCCCTGCGTGTGAGCTGTGTCGGCTGCCCGGCACCCCTGCTGCTATGGCACCCGGTGCAGCCACACAGCTCACTGAACACCAAGCCTGGCCAGCCCTGGTGGCACCCCCCTACATGATGGCACCCAGGGCGGACCGCCCCGCCCGCACTCCCCTTAGTACGCCACTGCATAGGTTCATCAATCAAGGGACAGTCTCTAGCTGTATGTCCAAGTTCATTACACCGGAAACATTTAATATTATAATCTGTCCCCCACCTAGACCATTTTCCAGGATTAACATTTCTAGGCATAAGTGTATGGGGTCTCTGAAAATATGTCTCTTGTTCCTCTGTGTCTCTGAAACCTTGAAAAATCTTACCAGGTCTTTCAGCAGCTGGAGTCTTAACTCTACGCATAGACTTTGTTTTGTTAAGCCACTGTCTGTCATCTGCAGCAACATATTTTTCCACCAAACTAATTAACTCATCGGCTGATTGTGGATCACTCTGACTGACCCATTGACGCAGTGAAGCAGGTAAGCCCCGCAGGAATCTGTCCATCACAAGAAGTTCCATGATGTGGCTTGCTGTATTTATTTCAGGTTGTAGCCACTTTCTAGCAAGATGTATCAGGTAAAACATCTGGGAGCGGATAGGTTTCTCTTGGTTGAAAGTCCAGGCATTAAATCTTTGGGCATGAACTGCCATAGTCACACCAAGTCTGGCAAGGATCTCAGCCTTCAGTTTGGAGTAGACCCCTGCCTGCGCTAGTTCCAGGTCATAGAAAGCTTTCTGGGGTTCTTCGGATCAGAAAAGGTGCCAGTATGATTGCCCACTCACTCACTGGCCACTCTTCTCTCTCAGCGGTCTTCTCATAAGCTAGAAGGAATGCTTCCACATCATCTGTAGGTGTCATCTTCTGAAGGTAGCGGTTGGCTCTGATCATCTTAACCTCGGACTGCGTCCCATCAGAAACTTTGGTCAGTCCCTTGGTCAAAGCCTGTATCTCCTTCTGTATCATGCTGGAGGCCTGATGTTGCTCCTCCCTGAGCAGGCAGTTTGCCTCAGCTTGGGCTGCAACAACCTGCTAGATCATGGCATCTGTGTTGGCTTTTTGCGTGATTAGCAGTTGCTGTAGGGTTGCAATATTTTCCTGTTGTGCCGCTGTGGCCTGTTGCTGCACAGCCGTGGCCTTTTGCTGTGCTGCTGTAGTTTGCAACAAAACTTTCACAACTTCCTCCATATTCCTCCGGCTTGTTTGGCTCCCAGTTAATACCCACAGGCTTCTTCAGTGCAGTGCCCGCATTCTCCACCATATGTGACAAACTTCCCTGTGTGTGTTTGTCCAGGATCCTTTGGCAACTGCAACGCCCTCTAGGGTAAGGAAGCCAGGCCAAGTCAAAGTCCAGTTTCAAAGGCCTCTGGCCTGTTTATTTTCTGTTATTAAGAAGTATCAGGATACAACAGGATACAACAGGATACAACAGGATACAACAGGATACAACAAGCAGCAAACCTTCTTTCTCCTCAAAACACTTCCCTCACCCCACTCTGCTTTAACTGCAGTTATAAAGCTGCTCATAGCCCCTACAGGTGAAGCTAATGACCTCGTTAGGTAGTGAGCCAGAACTCCTTAGAAAACCTGGGCTGGACTCATGCACAGCCACTCTGACAGTGGGTGGAGAATCGTCCCACCCTGCTCTTCCGAATACTCCACTCCAGGGACCCAAATAACAATAGAGAACAAAAAACCTACCTTTAACCTTAACTTTCCCTGGGGCTGCATGTGCTTACACACATGTCAGGATAGTGGCTGTGTAGAAGTCTGGGTGCCAGATATACACCCCTGACCACCATCCCCAACACTCTGTCACTATATATATATATATATATATATATATATATGCCACCTATAGACAGGTATCCATTAGGCACCCTTTTATAATATAGATAAAACCCTCAGATTATACTTCTATATCTGATTCTAGAGGTGGAGGAAGAGGAAGCCATGGTCACAAAATGGCTACAAAGCAATTGAACTAATTACAAACATGTACCAGCAAAATAAAACTTATTAAAAACCTTTCATATCGAATTATAGTAATTCCCTTACCTTTATGATAAAGATCAGGGTTAAAAACAACATTTAGCAGCAGCAAATTCACCAAACAAACCATCCAGAAGGAATAACTACCTTAAAAACAGCACCAAAACAAAAGGGAAAATGCATGGAATAGGTGTGCCAGAGGACCCTGAAGCCAATAAAGATAAAAATAATTACTGTCAAAGCCGTAAATCGATTGCAGTGGCCATCTTGGTACACCCAACATGCACTTAAGGTAACCAGGCTCCCATACCACTTCAATATTTGATTTAAAAGTTGTAGAATTTTGTCCAGCAAATTCCAATCTAAAATTACTATGAACTATCATAGTAATTTTTACCTAGGGTGTCCCAAACTGCTTGGGCTGTATCTAGTTTCTTCCTTGGGGAGAGAGGCTGAACTCCCCAGGGATGCCATAATGAAAAACTAATGGCGGGTGAACTTTATAATCAAACTGTTATGCTGCCCAACAGCTGGAGGACAGGAAAAAAGACTGCTTATTCTGGGGAGGTGGATTCCTTATATACCATCATTTGAAATTTAGATTCATGTCCTATCAGCTGAGACAGAGGAGCTAATCCATAGATGATGCTGACATGGATTGGCCAGGAAAGTTATTTGTCCTTCATGGAATGGTTATGTCATCAGTTACTTGGATACTTACCGCATATGGTAGTATTTGTCCTGATTTCAGGACATTTTCATCATTCTGGTATTCACAAGGATTACCTTTTAGCCTTGTCCACAAGTTGGAATTATTTAGGTCAAGGTGTATGGTAAAGCAATGTATGAATAGTGGATCTAACTTTTACAAGGATTGCTTTTCCCAGTTAAAAGTAAATTGTCAATCGCAAACAAAATTTTGGCTATGTATCACACTTTTCCTTTATTTCAGCTACACACAAAGTCTGATCATTTTGCATTTTGTCTTTACAGGTGGTGGCCAAGATATATTTTAGTTGTATCGATGTTAATTTATCAACCCTACCGCTTCATTTTCCTGAAAGTACCCAAACATTAGATCTCAGTTTTAATCCTCTTAAATACCTTCATGCCAAATACTTTTCATATCTCTTCAATCTCCAGCATCTCGACTTAACTCGGTAAGTAGCCACATTATCATTTTTCATATCTAAACAAAATAACACTGCTGTTGTGAATTGAATTGTTTAAAAACTTGAACTTTATCACCCTGCAGGTGCAGTATAACCGTTATAGAAGATTTGGCTTTTTCAGGCCTTGGAAAGTTAGAGACTCTGATTCTCACAGGTAACCCAATATATCACTGGGCTCCTTTATCATTGTTTGGGCTTCAATCCTTATTCAGACTTATTGTGGTGGAGACATCTCTTACTTCTCTTATGGATCTCCCTATTGGAAAGATGACATCTCTCCTGGAATTAAATGCAGGCAGCAATCTGATTAATGCTCTTCATTTTCCAATAAATTTGCTTTCTCTTGACATTCTTGACCTTCATGCGAACAATATTACAAAAATTCACTATAGTGATGTGGAAAACTTGCAGAGTGCAAAAACTTTAAATCTTTCTCTTATATTGTCTAGAAATCCCATTGAATTAATTTCCCCTGCAGTTTTCAAATCTATTAGCATGCATTTTTTGCAAATACAAGGCTGTTTTTCTAGTGCACGAGCTCTGAGAGAAAACTTAAAGGCAATGGCTGGTCTGCAAGTTGAGAAACTAGAAATTGGACATTATAGAAACTCTGTATTTAAGATTAACTTCCACAACGGACTTTTAAATGGGCTATGTCAGATAAATGTCAATGAGCTGACAATTAATGGCATGTTCTTTGAAAAAACACACACATTGTTTACTTGTGCTGAGAACATGACACTACTGTGTCTGGTGAACTCTGATTTAAAAAGATTTACCCCTCAACCCATTGTGTTTTCCAAACTCCAACATTTTGAACTTAAGAGATGTATGATCTCTGAGTTTCCATCTCAAATTGTTTCAATGGTCGGATCACTCCGAAAAATTAAAATAACGGATAGTCCAAAACTCTCTAGCTTTACAGAACGCATTAATGGTTTAGATAAGTTAGAATATCTTGATCTGAGTAAAAATCAGATGATGCTTGAGTATTGCTGCAATCAAATTATCTCTGGTGCATCATTTCTTCAACATCTTAACCTTAGCTACAATGTACATATTGGCTTGAGGAGTACATTTCTAAATATGCCCCACCTTTTGTCTTTAGATTTAAGTCACACAGCTCTTGATAATGTTGGTATGTTTCCAATATTTATGCTAATGGGTAACCTAACCATCCTTGACTTATCTTACACTTACTGTCATTTTCTTATTCATTGTTCCTTTTGTGGCCTGAATAATCTGAAATGGCTTAGTTTATCTCGCACAATGTTTGCAAAAGACATATTAGGTTCTGTGTTTCACAACCTGACTCAGCTACATTTTTTGAACCTTTCTGCTTGCAGCCTTGACCATATTCCTGAAGAGACATTTAAGAGTCTTAGTTTATTGCAAGAGTTAGATCTAAGTAAGAACAAACTGATGGAACTGCAATCTGCTTTACTTAAACCACTCTCAGCACTTACTGAACTAGACCTAAGTACTAATCACTTCACAGGAATGCTTGAGGACACGATTCAGATACTGTCTGCAAATGTTTCAAAAGTTGACATTTCTCTGAATCCGTTTGATTGTTCTTGCAGCCAAGCTAATTTTTTGCTTTGGGTCCAGGCGCAAAAAGAGAGAATTCTGCATCATACGGAATATATGCTGTGCAAAACTCCAGATAATTGGAAAGGCTTTAGGCTGAGCACTGTAAGCATCAGCTGCAGTGTGGGCCTACCTGTGTTTGCTTGTTTGATGGCTATTATTCTATGTGGTTCAATTACAATCATAGTGTATTACTGTTACCACCACAAATATCTGCACTTTCTATGTTATTGGTGTTACCGGCGCCTCTACACACAGCAGGTGCTAGGAAATGACTATGATGCTTTTGTTATCTATTCAAATGCGGATGAGGAATGGGTAAGAGAGAAACTTGTTCCTAAACTAGAAGACGGAGTGCCACCCTTTCGACTTTGCTTACATTTCAGAGATTTTACACCAGGAATCCCTATAACATCAAACATAGTTAATGAAGGACTTCTCAAAAGTCGCAAGGCTCTTGTAATTGTTTCTAAAAACTTTTTGCAGAGCCAGTGGTGCAATTTTGAGTTTGAGATGGCAAAGTCATGGCAATTTTTGGAGAGTAAAGCTAGTATTATTGTAATACTTTTGGACAATATGACAGAAGATCAGCTGAAACATATGCTTGGACTCCACAAATATTTGCTCAAAAACACCTATCTTAAGTGGGGAGAAGGACCTATAGATAAAAAGATGTTCTGGGTCCGTCTAAGAGAAGCGTTAAAAAAGGGATCTGAAAGTCCTAAATTACAAGACAAAAATGGACAACCTCATGATGTATGACTCAAATGGTATGACTGTATAACTCAAGTGTAATTATTTGTTTCTGCAATAAAGTGAGAGATATGTTGATAACATAAAATTATTATATGTTGATAATCCGATCAACTCAGTTGCAATTGTTCAGATAAATAGGGAGTACTGTATTAAACACAAATTATAATTCTATGAATTCAATAAAGCATGTCTCATTACTAGAGTTAAGCGAACCCGAACTGTAAAGCAGAGGTGGCTCTCTAATTAGGCGGCTTAGGCGGCTGCCTAAGGCCTCGCGCTGGCTGGGGCCTTGCGGCTGCCTAAACCACCTGTGGGCAGACTGTGCTGGGTCCTCGGTCAGTGAACCGGTAGCTTGCCCGGTATGCCGCCGGGTGCGAGGCCCCTCCTGGCCACCCGGCCAGCCACCGCAGACACTGGTTTGCAGCTCCGCTGTGTGCAGAGCTGCAGACCATGTGTCTCGCAAAAACGAACCAATCAGAGCGTTGCCGCGGGTTACCACAGCAACGCTCTGATGGTCTCACGAGATTACATGGTCTGCAGCTCTGCGGAGCTGCAGACCGGAAGTAATGCCCACCAGACCACCAGGGAGCCCACTGGACAACCAGGGAATAAAGGTAGGTTCTCTCTCACTTCCCCTCACCACCCTCAACATCACCCCCCTCACCACCCTCAGCATCACCACCCTCAGCATCACCCCCCACCACCCTCAGCATCACCCTCCCACCATCCTCAGCATCACCACCCTCACCACCCTCAGCATCACCCCCCTCACCACCCTCATCATCATCCCCCCACCACCCTCAACATCATCCGCCTCCCTCTCACACCCCCCTCACCATCACCTTCTTACATCACCCCCCTCCTTCTTACATCACCCCTCCCTCTCACATCACATCACCCCATCCCTCTCACATTACCCCCTCTCTCACATTACCCCCTTCTCCCTCTCACAATCACCCCCCTCTTCCTCCAACCATCACCTCCTCTCACCATCACCCGCCTCTCCCTCTCACCATCACCCCCCATACACACAACACACTTCAAGCAGCTATCCCATACACATAGGGTCTCAGACAAAAATCAAACATGCTCACAAAGACACACATTCCCACTCTGTCAGACACACTCTCAGGCACATACACAGGTAAACTGTGCATCAATGTGTATATGTGACACTTTTTTGTTAGTGGGGCCTCATGTTTGAGTTTCGCATAAGGCCTCATAAAGTCTAGAGCCACCTCTGCTGTAAAGTTTGGGTTCATACCGAACATTATGATTTTTTTACCCCGAACCAGAACCCGGACATTTCAGTAACAGTTCGGGTTCGGTTCGGTGTTCGGCGATTTAACCTCTTAACGACGAGTAAAATGAACCCCGGATCGCCGCTATCGCGGTGATCGCAGGGTTAATGGTGCTCGGGTCTGCCTCTGTATTAGAGGCAGATCGGGAGCACCCGATAGTGCTGCCCCAGCACATGTGCTCGCTCTGACAGTTTTTAAAATAAACTTTAAAAAGTTAAAAAATGAAGCTTAAAAAAAGTTGTAATAACGTTTAAGTAAAAAATAAAAAAACTCCCCCCTTTACCCAGTCCAATTAAAAATTAACCCCTTCCCTGCCAGTCGATCACTGCCTACAGTGATCAAAATACAGATCACAGTATTATACTGTGATCTAATTTTTTTTAACCCCTGAGGATTAATTTTTTTTTTTTTAACACTCAGGGCTTCAATTTATTTAATTAATTAATTAAAATATTTTATAATTATATATTTTGCTACCTGGGATGGGTGGAAGTTATGGGACAATGGGGAATTTACTGTTAGTGCTGCTTACTGCTAGTTAGGGGTTAACGGTAAAAAAAAAGCTTAGAAAACTTTTAAATCTGTAAAAAAAAAAAGTTTTAAGAAAGTTTAGGAAAGTTTAAAAAAAAAAAATAATAAGCAAAACAAAAGTTTAAAAACTAGTTTTTAAAAGTAAAAAAAGTTTCAAAAAGTAAAAAAAAATACATTTAAAAACGCTCATTAGCACTACACCTTGAACAAACTAGAGAAAAAAATGATACCACACTAAGGTTCAAAATATGCCTTTTGAATTAACCCAGGGTGTATTCTTTAATAAATAGTATGTGTTTGTGGGGAAGTTTCAATAACCAACCATCTAAACTGCTCCAAATTGGAACATGGACACAGCATAAAACTTCAAAGGTAGAAAAAAACTGAATGGCTGCGTCTCAAATGCGCCCCTTCAACATCCACATATACCTGGCAAAGGTACATACGGTGGTATTGCTGTACTCAGACGACATAGCTGAGCAACATTTGAAGTATTATACAGTCGTAGCACACATAAGGTTTGCAAAATATACTGTGCAAACTCACTTTGTGTGTCAAAAAGGCAGAAAAACTTATTACCACTACACTTGGTACAAGCTAGCAGAAAAATGATCTTTTGAAATACCCTGGGATGTCTTCTTTAAGAAATGTTATGGCTTTATGGGGTATTTTGATTATATAGCCTTGTAAAGTACTTCATA